TTTGATTGGTGAGTTTAAGTCATTAATATTTAGGGTTATTATTGAGATATGATTTGTATTACCAGTCATTTTTGTTTATTTTTGGTATTTAGCTTGACTTGGTTTCCCTTTGGTTGGCTTTTCTTTTATTGTAGTTCTTCCCTTTGTAGATTTTCATTTTCTCCTTGTGGAATATTTTGTTAAGAGTGTTCTGTAGTGCAGGCTTTCTTGCTGTAAATTCTTTTAGCTTTTGTTTATTATTGAAGGTTTTTATTTCATTATTAAATTTGAAGCTTAATTTTCCTGGATATAATATTCTTGGTTGGCATCCATATCTTTTAGAGCTTGGTATATGTTGTTCCAGGATCGCCTGGCTTTGAGAGTCTGGGTTGAAAAATCTGCTGAGATCTGAATTGGTCTTCCCTTATAGGTAATCTGATTTTTCTCTCTTACAGCCTTTAAAATTCCATCCTTATTCTGTGTGCCATAAATTTTCATTATAATATGTCTTGGTGTAAATATGTAGTAATTTTGTACATTTGGTGTCCAATAGGCCTCTTGTATTTGATTTTCCAATTCATTCTTCATGCTTGGGAAATTTTCTAATATTATTTCATTGAAGAGATTGTGCGTTCCTTTGGTTTGAATCTCTGAATCTTCCTCTATCTCAATCAATTTTAAATTTGGTATTTTGATGGTATTCCATAATTCTTGGGTGTACTGTTTCTGGTTTCTTACCATCTTCACTGTGAGTTCAACTTTATTTTCAATATTGTGTATTTTGTCTTCATTGTCTGAGGTTCTGTTTTCTAAGTGGTCTAGTCTGTTGGTGATGCGATCTATTTTTTTAATTGGCTTATTGTTTCTTTCATTTCAAGGAATTTTTTTCAGTATCTCTATCTCTTTCTTTAAGTAATCTATTTACTCTCTTATCTCTTAGTTGGAGTGATCAATTTTTGCCTGTATCTGCTCACTTAGGTTGTTCTTTAATTCCAAAATCATTTTAGTTATGTATATTCTGAACTCCTTGTCTGACATTTCAACTACATTCACTGTCTATGGATTCTATTGTTATAGTGTCTTGGCTTGTTTGGGCCACTTTCCTCCCTTGTTTTTTTTATGATGTCTATGTGTCTTCCTCTCTTGTAGTGTAGATCTGAGGTATTACAGCTTCTGCCCTATTGTCTTATGGTGTGCCTACAGGTTACCAATACCTCAATTTTAAGAGAGAGATTAATATTATAGCACTCAATGTACCCAACATGCAGCCATATTTCAGTTAGCTTCTAGTTTTACATTTACAGTTCTGTCACTATCAATAGAAATAATGAGTTCGGTTATCTACAACCATATAATCAATAGATTTGTGTAATGGTTTACAGTTTCTGATGGTTGAAGGGGGGACTGGGTGGTTGGCTGAGATGTTTATGAGGTAGGATGTGAGAGTATAGAGATATTAGGTTATATGACTAGTGAGAGGATAATCATAGGAAGTTGGCTGTTATTAGGAGAAACAGGAGATAGGCAACCCTAGCAAGACTCCCTGTTATCTCAGCAACAGGATAACTGTTAGCACCCCTAGTAGAGAAACCTCTGGTGCAGCCAAGCCACAGGGACCTTGGTGGCATCTTACCAGGTCCTTATCATTGTCCTTTGATAGAAACGGTGAAATCCCAGTTTTGTGGCAGTGGCAGCCTCAATCCTGTATGTTTCCTGATGTTGGGCTGTGGAGCCATGCTTTGGTGAATAAGGAACCCAGTGCAAGGTGGCCCTCAATGTGGGCACGGGATGGCTCTGCCCTGGAACTCTGGGACACAGTGACTCAGAGCCTCCTAATATTTTGAATGCATTTTATTTATAAGAAAAGTGTGGGTTAGAGAGTTTAAGTGGGTTGTGATATATCACATATACATCCAGGCAGAATGAAATTCAATGTAAAAATCTTTATTCTTAATTAAAACTGATTTTATAACTTTTGAAATTTGGATTTGTTATAATTGTTTAGTTCATTTATCTTCGGAATTATATACAAAACCCTTGCTGTATGGATTTTCATGGTTCCTGTTTTATTTTCAGCTGATTTTGACCATTTTTTTTAGTACTGAGTATATTTATTAACGTGGTTTCCTACTTTTATTTTGTAAGGAAAATGTGCTAGCCTTTATGTCCATGGTAATTTGGCTATGTGTACTCACCTAAGATCATAATATTTACAAAACCAGAAAAATTATAAGCAGTAATATAAAGCAATTCTTATCAAATTCTACCATACAAGAAAATGAGATGTTTATGAAGTTGATGTAGTGAACCAATGTGACAATAAGTTTAAAAACTTAAGGAAGCCAACAATCCCAAAAGTTGCCATCGTATCAGTAGTAATGAGTGTTTTGATGGAGGACTGAATTATTAACAAAAGCCCAGTAGCTTACTTGTAGACAAGGAAATGTTGACTTAAAAAAATTATAAATTACTATTGTAAGTTACTATTTCATGATTTAACATAAACAGACTTGTGAGTCAGCTTTTTGTCATTGTGGACAAAACACCTGACATAAGTACAACTTATGCTGGGAAAAGTATTTTGCCTTAAGGTTTGAGAGGCTTCACTCCACAGTCAACTAACTCCATGGCTCTGGACCTCAGGCAAGGCAGAACAACATGGCAGAAGGGCCTGGCAAAGGAAAGCTGCTCAGCTCATGGCAGCCTGGGAGCAGAGAAAGAGAATCCAGAGCCAAGATAAACCTTTCCAGGGCAGGCCCCTAGAGACCCACTTCCTCCACCTAGGCCCCTCCTCCTACAGTTTCCACGCCTCCCCCCATAGTCCATTCAGATATCAGTTGGTTAATCAATTGATGAGGTGAGAGGCCTCATGATCCAATCACTTCCCAAGAGCTTCACCTCTGAATATTGCACTGGGAACCAAGTCTTGAAAACTAAGTGTTTGGGGAATCTTTCATCTCCAAACCTTAACACTGTATTAAGCATGTTATTATGATTTTCATACATCAGTTACATAAAATCTACCCAAACAATATATTGAAAACAATGGGCAACTATGCACACAAATGAGGAATTATCAATCTTGCCAATCTACTGTTTTTTCTTTCTCCACTTCATAGTCACTACCTCCTCCTCTAACCTATACCCCTTCTCTCCCTAGGCTGTTAACATTTCAGCTGAGCTTCTTGGTTCATACTTCTCCCATTCACAGAGAAAATGTGGGGCATTGAGATCCAAATGATGCTAAATAAAATTAGGCTGCCTTTAAAAAAAACTGTTCTTAAGTCTTTAAAGTTTTACACATTCTGTTTTATTTAGTCTTTTTCTGAGAAAAGTGTTGTCTTTCTGCTTCTTTACCACTTTCACTTTCCTCTTGAAGCTAGAAGCCAAATAGCATGAAAAATGAAAACAAAAATGGCTGAGCCATTATTTCCAAAAATTTTGATACATCATTTTTCTTTCTCTAGTGAAGATTCCTAGAAAGTTCTCATTGCATCTGAGAACATCAAGGCAAAGATAACCATGCAAATCTAAATTAGATGAAAATTCAAGTGAATATCTCCTCAGATGACACGACACACCAAAGTTCTTTTCTGCCCTTGCTCACCTACCCCCTACTCCAGTATTGTTTCCACTCATTAATTCTAGGATTCGCCTCTCACTGAGGTTGCCAGGTCCATCAGTATTCCCACAGTGGTTATGGATTCAATCCACAGGGCAGCTTACTAACATTAGACATAGCACCAACTAATAAAAGGGAAAATGATAATTTTAATTAAACATATCATGATTTACAACTAACCCAATATTAAGCATATTAATATGATTTTTCAGTACATCAAATCAATGAAATCTATTAGGACATAAATAAATTAAATGAAAACTTGTAGGAAACAATAACCTACATTCCTACATTCTTTTTTCAGATCACACACTACTCTTTTCTCTTTGCTTCAGAATGAAACCTCTCAGAATTCTTTTCTCTTTGTTATCACTAACTACTTTTTATTATTCATCTTAGACCTATGTCAAAATGGCTTCTGGTGATCAATTCTACCAAACCAGCTGTCATTAAGATCACCACTGCCCTTCACTTTCCCAATGTATTAAAGAGTTTCAAAACATCTTCCAAAAATCCATGAATTTCTCTACTTCTAAGGGAGTTCTTATCTTAAAAATACTTTATTTCTGCCATTCTCTCTTGATGTCCTTCTAAACTCAGGGTATTCCACCTGTGTCTCCTTCCTGATTGTTCTCTCCTCTCCCTTTAATAAAAGTCGAAAAGTTCTCAGGATCAAGTTTAAGTCTTTTTCTCCCTCCTCACTCTCTCCACAAGACCACCTCCATTGCTGAACTTCCAATTCCCGGTTATGAGCCATCAGACATTGTATTTCTTGTAAATGGCAAACTCATGTATTCAATGAGCATTTGCACTTGGTTGTCTAACAGTCAATTTATAGAAGATGTACCTGCTTTCACGTTTCTCCGTTAGCATGTGACATCTACCTTCCACTGAGAGAATTTCCTTAGTTTTTCATACTCCTCATTATAGATTTTAATATAATGAGCAAGTAGGATCATTGTGTTTAGATCTCTTTCTCTATAAAAATCAGACAAAAGAGAGCAGGAACTGTATTTTTATGTTCACCTCAAAACCTTGAGGGCAACATGTGACTTGGCTTCAATGAAGTGAATGTTTTAGTACAAGGTTAAATGTAGCACAAGGGGGAAGTCAATTCTACCATTTTTTTTTTAGATCGAGTTGTAAAATCAGGCTTGACAAGTCTTTTCATTAAGTTTATTTATTGTGTTCAACATAGAAGAAATTTTCTATAGTAAAAATTTAATGAACAATGCAAAATAAAAAGTTGACTAAATATAAAATGTACTTTTTTATATTAATCACAATGTAAAGGTTTACTTCAGCTTCTATGAACAATTCAGAAACAAATCTGAAACAATTCAGATCTTATAAATAACATAAAAATAAATATTTAAATAAATAGAAAAAAAGATACATGATGGTCCTGGGTAAATGGGATGTTGTCTAATATTCTTGAAATCATCTGAAAAATTGGTTGAATTCATTTCAAAATTCCAGCAGGAATGAGTCTTTGAAATGGCAGAACTTGTGGGAGTGTGGTAAGGTGTGTTCATCAGTGAGAAGCATTTCCCTGCTGGACCAGGTCTCATTCCATGCTCCTTAGTCTTCCATACAAGTTGGCTGATGAAGAGAAGGATTTCATGATTTCTGCTCTGACCACCTCCCAGGCACAAGGCAGGTATTTCTTCTCCTTCAGGTAGACAGTGATCCTGTGGAAGTATTTCCTCACAGCCCTCAGGGGAGCCTCTTCCACCCCCACCTGCTGGGTCCCACAGTCTTTCAGGTCATCCAGATGCTGATGGAGGCCAGTGAGGAAGGTGTCCAGGAGGGTCTTGTCCCAAGCAGCAAAGGCCTCCTGGGTGCTGAAGAGGTTGAAGACCTGCTGGGTCATCTCATGGAGGATAGTAACAGTTTGAGCCTTCTGCACCTGCTCACCCTTCAACTGCTTCTGGGGGAAGGCAAAGTCCTTTCTGTAGTTCAGGCAGGAGAAAGTGCGAATTTTCCTCATTTTTTCCAGGAGTGTCAGGGCTCCCACCTCATTTCTGTCAGAAGTTTCAAGACCCAGGTTGTGTATCTGAGGCAGGTCACAGCCCAGAGAGCAGGTGGACTTGCAGTTGAACACCATCAGGGCCAGCAGGAAAGCCAAGGGCAAGGCCATTGGGGATCTTGTAGATGCTGCTGGGCTGCTTGAGATGGGTGGTCTTGAACCTTTGTCTCTAGGTTCTCTGAAGACCTTGCTTTGTGTCTATGTCTTAAATAGGAACCAATATACTTTCAATTTTTTGAATGTCATCAGAACTTTCTACTTCTATTTTTGCTTTCCTTTATGCATTCTCTACATGTGCTTAGATTAATGTTTTACAATCATTTTTGAAATTATTGCTTTCCCTCTCCTGCTCCCAAAGACTTTTAAGATATTTTTTTTTACCATTGAAACCTCCATTATATTTTAGTAACACAGATATACTGAATACCTATATGTGTACCCTATGTATATCTCTCATTTGTGTATAAAAATGACAAATTAAAACTTTGTGTTCAATACAAAGTTCAAAATTAGTAAGAATTTTAAGGTAAAAGTTAATTTCATAAGCTATTGGTATTTTACTTATATTCAAATCCAGATAGTTTCTAAGGGACTTTACTGTAATTAATATACTTACAGAAAATTTAATATATCTTATCATGTCCAAATTAGCAATTTATTAAAACAAAATAATTGCCATGTAATTATATATTCAAAAATCTTTTCAATGTTAGGACACTGAAAACTGAAATATTTGAATTTTTATTTTTAGTGTACTTTTTTTCCTTCAAAGAGAAATTATTTTTACATAGTTAGATACTAGATGCTTATACAGGTTATAGATATCTTATTTTCCACAGTACTGACATAATTATAAAATATAGTGCTTCTGTATTATTTCTCAAAGTCCATAACCCATTCAGGGGCTCTGAGGATCAAGCATAACAAACACCTGATGCAGCAGACAATGACAGTCCATGGGTACCCAGAAGCCACCTCCTAAAACATTACTTTGAGATCTAATAACCCTGGAATAACCCTCCAATCCCAGCCATCTATTTACCATGGATTTGGAGCACTGATCTTGCACAGATTTTGCTTACCTTAATGAATTTAGTGTCAATAAATTGTTTTTCCAGTGATGTGGACCAAACCTATTGTCTTGTGTTTGTCAGGCAAGTACTCAACCAGGGAACCATGTCCACAGGCCTAGAAAACCCACTGGAAAAAAAATACTGAAGAATAAGTGTGGGGTGAGTTTTCAGTACCACAAACCATTACAATACCTAAGATTTAGTTGTATCTCTAAGGCCTAATTTCTTAAATCTTGGGACAAATATCATACTGAATAAAAAAACACAATTGAGAAATTATGATCAATATTATTTAATCTTTTCCTGTTTAAGTTATAATTTCTCAAACTTCAGAACGCTAATCCTAAGTGATTCTTACCAAACAAAGGAAGCTGTCTTTTCCCTAAATGTGAATAATTGAACATAAAGATTATTAAGTGCATGGGCTATGTAATTGTTTTATATAACATGCAAGACATCAGATATTTTTCTTTCTCATTACCTTTTTTAGAAAGCAAAAGCTGTCACTTTTTGTATCACAATGTTTGGTGTCAAAAACCACAAATGTATGTCCAAGTGTGATAAAAATGTAAAGAAGACCAGTGCAGTGGTTTGGAGGCTGAGGCAGAAGGATTGAGAGTTCAAAGTTAGACCCAGCAACTTAGCAAGGCCCTAAGCAACTCAGCAAGACCCTGTCTTTAAAAAAAAATACAAAAAACGGGCTAGGGATGTGGCTCAGTGGTCATGCATCCCCTGGTTCAATCCTTGGTACAAAAAAAAAAAAAATAAATAAATAAAAGTAAAGAAAGCAATATTCCACTGGAAACAAAGGACAAAATAAATTAGGATTGGACCTTTGAAGTTTATTTGGGAAATTGGAATTTAAACAGGAAAAGATTAAATAATAGCTACAAATAGCTACATGCAGTGCAGCTGAGATAAGATTCACCAATGGAATGGACAAGGGCAAGATGTTTAAAGGGTGCATATGAAAGTAGCAAGCAGCTGTGGGTTCAAAGAAGGGTCATTACTCCCTGTGAAGAGTTTGTCTCCAGTTTTGCTAAACCCACTTTTTACACAGATGCATGGAAGACAACCCAATGATTTCACAAGATATATTATTCTCTCTAGATAATGGACAAGGGTTAATTGTATCAAGTTCTCCCATAATTAATAAATAAATTGGAAGATCAATATTCTTGTCATGTCTCTGATAAAAAACAAAGAATTGATACATTCAAAGTACAGTTCCCCCCAAGTTAATAGAGTTAAATAAAACACATGTATGCATATATAATACATATATATCAATATATCATGTTAATAAAAAGAATAAAATATCCAAGTTGTGTTAAGTGTTTATTGTCAGTCAGATACTGTTCCTAGAATTTATAAAATTGATCCTTTACTGATAGGTATGCCATAATGCTGCCATTATTATTATTATTATTATTATTCCAGGGATTGAACCCAGGGGCGATTAACCACTGAACCACATTCCTAGCCCTTTTAAAATTATTTTACTTAGAGACAGTGTCTCACTAAGTTGCTTAGGCCCTTGCTAAGTTGCTGAGTCTGGCTTTGAACTCGCAATCCTCCTGCCTCAGGCTCCCAAGCTGCTGGGATTTCAGGCATGCACCACCATGTCTGGCTAATTTTTCATATATATTGAGCATGTATCATGTGCTCAGTGCATTGAGTTGCTGGAGACATTGGTGACTAAAGCAGATAGTGAGAGGTTCTACTATCACCATTTACAAAAGAAAAATGGAAGCACAGAGAGCTCATGAACAGTGGAGTTGCTGTTGGAACTCTGTACATACCCACTTTTGGTCCTCAGATCTTAGATGCTCTCTGGGGACATTTCTGGCTAGAAGAACCACAACTTATTTCTAGACTGATTTTCAGTAGAGCTCTGCCTCAGCAATGGCAATCTTTCTCTTTAGTTCCCATTACTCCCCTTCACTCATGCCAGGATTGGTGCATAATTTCAACATTGGCCACATTTTACTTATAAATGTTACATCCTGGGATTTTTTTTGTCTTCTTCAGAATTCATCTTCATAAGCTGGAATATATTTGTAAAAAAGTTGGTGCAGCCATCCAAGTTGTGTATTTATGAGCAACTCTTTGAAAACTTACATATTTCTATCCATGCATTCAAATATCTATATGGCTTTATATTCCTGTTTACCAGAAGCTTAAGGCAGTGGGTCACGATCAGGCTAGAGGCATGAGCTCAATCTCAACTAAACCATTAGCTAAGGCTTAGAGCTCACAGCTAAAAGGGCTCACTGAGGCAATTAAAGGTGTAGAAATTAAAACCATTCTGGAGAAATGAGGAGGGTTCAGCACACTAGAGGAGGAGGACGGAGATGGCAAAAGGCTCTGTCTGGGTCAACAGCCTTGTCAGTTGCTTCATGTTTCCTGTTCATAGCCTGGAGAAGTTTGCTGCTTGGTTTATTATAGTGACTTTTCTTGAGGAATAAAGCCCAGATAATAGAAAATGTAAGGATAAAACTAAAAAGAGGGGTTGGGAGAAATAATATATTGCAGTGGTGGCAGGATGAGCATAGAAATGGAGAAAGTTCTGCCTTTGACTTTCATATTTTTGGTGGATGTTGACTGAAGTGACAACTGCTGATCTTTATCCTTTGATTTTTTGAGACATCCCCACACAAACCTAAATGGTGACTGCTGATTTCCTTTTTTATCACCTTTATTCCAATGGGGCAGTGAATTTTATTTCATTTTTATTTCCAAATGTGGCATGTAATGATTAAAATATCATGTCAAATTGAAAAAACAACGGATTTCAATTCCTGGGTCCAGTGGTTCGTTTTTTTTTTTTTTTCTGCAGAAGTTTTGATTCTTCTTTATAGATGGCTATAGGTTCTCTTCTAGCTCCACCTATTCTCTCCTCAGGAATTTGGAAGATATTTATAAGCAGAAACATCTTCTTACCCAAACTTATTCCCTAGGCATTTATTTCAATTCATATCATTTCAAAACCTCAGTCAGAATTTATGAGAGAAATAATCCTTAAAATAGTGGTAAAAAAATAATACCAATACATACAATATATGACTTGAGAGGACATTTAATCTAAAGATACTTCTAAAATTCTTTATTGGTCTTCAAGAAAAGCTGGCATTGAAGATTGTATGGAATACTTTATAAAAAGAATAACCATTTCATTTTAGGAATATTTTTCCTAGTTTGTATGTTAATATTTAGAATATCAACATGAGAAATGAAGCCTGATTACAATTGGAAGATTCACTGCCCCCTTTTGTTAATGTGATCCTCAAGATCACTTGACTACCTTGTATGAGCTACCAGATCATACTTTCTATTCCCCACAGAACTTTACAATGTGTTCCAAGAGCTTCTCTTGATACTCTTGGTCATTTTTAAATGTTTACCTATGACTTTGAGAACCAATTTAAGTGTTCTTTCAAATAATCAATAATGCTAGAAAGTTTGAAGAATGAATTTTTCCTGATGACATTCAACTTAGTGGGATTAGACATAATTTTAAAATTAATTTTGTGGGGCAAGAAAAGTGGTTATTTTTCCTCCTAAAATAGCATTAATACACATAGTGCAAAACTAAAGACTGGTCCTTTAAAAAAATTTGTCTTCTCTTCCCACAAGTCATCCAGCTAGAATTGCTTTTCCACCTTTTTTGCATCTAGGTGTCACACGGGAAGAAATTCATGCCAAGTACACATCGATGGAAGTGATCTTTTTCTGTGTGGTCTCCACTCTTAAGAGCATCCCCATACGATTCATTACACTTTTCCCCTTTGAAACTTTGTATAATACATTCCAGCACAATAGTCACACTTGGAATTACATGTTGAACATGGGCAATGCCACCAAAGAAATGGTACTCATGTCTTTGAATCACTGTTGGAAGGATGGTCAACCAAGGAGTCACCTGACAGAAATTCCTACACCCAGTTCTGATATGAAAGCAAGATAACTTTGTAATTTGATCTAGTTACTAAGAACTTTTATCTATTATATAAAGTAAAATAATCTCATGATTTAAGTTTCAGGTATTTTCCAGTTGGTCTAAAACTCAAGAGTTGAGATTGCATTTGGAGGTTCAAGAAAAATCATGTAA